TTTTCTTCAAATGCGAATCTCTCGGCGAAAAATCATCGTATCGAGATGCATAAAAAAGCATTTTAAAGAGGAGACTCTGTACTTTCGTACGCTTTTGATCCCAATAAGCTACAATTTTTTGTTTATACCGTGCACCGTCGCAAACTCGAACCATTATTTTTCAATTTTGCATGCTCGCGCTTTGTCATCCGCCATTTTCAATAAATTTATTTTGCAACATTGAAATAAATTGATTCTTAAAGTAGAGATTTTTAGCTTCATTTCCATATTTTATAGAACTTTCTATCTTTATTATTTACGAAGTTATCGTCAGTTGAAATTTGATGAATTTTTCCCACATTTTCAGTGTACCGCTTTTTTTTCGGGTGAGTGTATATATGTGTCCATTTGCGCGTTCTCGCGGGTGAGTACCTACGTATGCGTATGTACGCGTGCAGTCAATTGGGAAGCCGAGGGAAAAAAATATGGAGAGAGAAAACAATGTGCCGTTATTGAAACGAAAAAATTGGAGCGTACGCTGTTGCATTTCATTTCCTGTCCTCTCTACAAATATGATTTAAATTTATGACGCCTTGAAATTTATAACAGCAAATACATCACGCCGTAATTGAAAATGTATACAGTTCTTTTTTTCGCAGAACGTTTTAGAATTTACATACCAAGATACCGGCTAAGAGACAATATATTATTATATACATATTCAAATTCTATATATTTGAATATAATATATACGATATTTATAAAACTTTAAAAAAACTGAAAAGTTTTGTTAATATCTAAAAATCCTTATACGTACTTAATGATTTTTCCATAGTTGGTTTGTGTATTTTAATTGATCAATTAGTAATACTTTTTTAATTTTACGCGAATGATTTAGTTTCTATTTATACAGCGAATATCTGGCTTGCTAGCGCGCGTGTCCTAGTTTCACTTTTTAACTCAGTGGGTACTCACCCAGACGATGAACTGGGCTGAAACGGACGAGGCTCAATGCGCCATGATCCAAATCGCAATTTCTTCGCCGGGCTCGCTCCCTGGCAAGTTTCGCTCTTCTTCGTAGGCAGCAAATTACCATTAACGCTAGCAATGGAAACCCCAGAATGCAGGACACGATGGGTATGATTATGCTTTCCGGCGTCACTAAAAGACGCAAACGCAATTTAATCGTGCGTTACTATTTTATAAACCGGTTAATTCCGCTCTATTATTATTGTGTGTAATAATAATAGAGCAGAATTCTTCGCAATTTAAAAGCGTTTTTTTTTCAGTGATATAACTAAAATTCTCGACAGTTTGAGTAAAGTTTGCTGATAAGCTATTTTAATTATTTAACGTAGAAAAGAACTTACTAGAATCAAAAGTTTAAAATATTGATGGTGTAATATTTTGCTGAAACTTCTATTTTTTTAATTTTTTTTAAATTTTGATAGTGTTTAAAACAACGAAATAATAAATGAAATAAATTGTTTGAATTTTATAAACGTCTTGCAGTTGACAATTACTGGGTTTATTGATTACACGAATGTGATTTTATATACATACATATAAGTAAATCGGTTAGATTAATCTTTTTTATCTCTCTTTATCTTATATAATTATATAAGATTTCTATATATTATCTCTATATAATTATATTTATTTTTGGTTATTTTATATACTTTTGTATTATATATATTCTTCATGAAGTTTATATATTATATCAAATAGAGATTAACATAATTTAAATCATTAAGTAGGTTTCGTGTTACTGAATAAAAGTTTTTTTTCTTGAAAGTTAATCGGTTCGTGAAATTTTCAAGCATGTAATAAAGATAAAGCTAGTTATTTGGTTCGAATTAGCGAGTATTATAAAACAAGAGATTTAAGATAGAGTAGTGATTACACTTTCAGTTCGTATTTAAAACGACTTAAGTGCTGACTTTCTTGACTGCGACAAAACCGTTCGATTAAAACTTTTTGCACACAACGCAGTAATGTCTACATTTCTCAATAAACGCGTCCCAGTTTTCTTGGATTAAGCGCTATTTTCTCGGTATACAATACGTGGAGCTTGACTTAACTTATACAGTATGATATTTTTTCTATTACAACGTAAAAAAAAACTAGTTTCTTTTGAAAACTTTTAATCAAGATGTGTAACTTTGCGTGAAATTCTTAAAAAGAAATAGGAATAAAAAAAAAAATGAGAAAAACGTAATTTTATTTTTGACTTTCTTAAGTTCTATTTGCTATAAATAATTGTAAAATTAATATTATTTGTTAATTATAGATACACGCTTGAATTGAGAGAGAGAGAAAGAGAGATTATAATTTTATATTTATATTACATGTCTAATATTTTGTGAAAATCTTTCTATATTTTGCAAATTGTGTGCTTGTTTTGCCTCGTACATTGGAAAATTGAGAATTTGTTTTAGATTAGCATAAACGCGCTATTTTCTGTAAAAGTCATTCTACAGTTACAAATTGAAGGTATTGTAGGGATTTGAATGAAGCACGAATTGCAGGTTGCGTGAAAGCTAAAGTTTCTTGAATTTTAACATCAACTAATTAATCCGATGGATAGTCGTGACGCAAAGGGTTTCGTCTGGTTTTGTTGGCGGTATATAAAAGTAAATATTTTATTTTGTAGAAAGGTGCTGTTTATGTTAATTAGGTATTAATTAACAATATCTCAAATTGTAGTTATGAAAAATTGATTTTAAATTACTTCGAGAATAGAATAACGTTATTTAAAATATTGATACGTTAGTTTATTCATCATTGCACGGTAGAAGCAAGTGTCAGTAATTAACAATGATCACGTAAAGCTTTAATCGGTTAACAATTCGATATAGTGTTATTGTGCTAGCATTAGCGAATTTACGTTTCTCGTAATTTACTTTGTATAACGAATGAATGGCTGACACTAATTACATTATCACCTGGTTGCCTCTCTCCACCTCTTCAAATTCGCTCTTCGCTAGCTATTCGTTCACAATTTACCAACGCCGCGAGCACGATCTAATACTTCATACAAGTGACTAATTAAACATTGTTCCATGCAGTTAATATACCGCGTCTTCAAAATGAAACTGGCGCGACTCAAGATAATGCCAACGTCATGTAAACGGTTATATATTTCTTGCAGTAAACTAGAATTTAGTTTCAGCATAAATTACTGAGTTAATATTAGGAACATGGTATCTGTGTGTTCTTACCTGTTGGATATATCAAGATTGTTGGTCTTTTAGAGTGCGGAATTGTCGGCATGGTGGGTCGACCAGCTCTCATTTCGGCCGACATTTTTCTTCGTTCTGCAACTGAAATTCATTTTTGTAATGGAAATTCATTTTTCAACTGACTTTTCACACTTTAGTACATGTTCTCATTTTTAGCTGGTAAATATAATATAATAGACTTTCGTGAATATAGTGACAAATCAAACGAATAGAAAAAATATGGTAAAAAATAAAACTTAATTAAAGATTTAATTTAGCAAAAGAATATATATATTTTTCTCGCATTCGAGTCCCACTATGCATAATTAAATACAATAAAACGCAATCAAAGAGGTCTTGTCGCGTAACAATTTATCAAAATATGTTTGCCGTCACCTCTGAAAAGTTTTCTGGCATTATACGGTCATGTCATGGAGCAGGAAAAACGAGTGATTTTTACATTTCTCACGTTGGAACATGCGGTTCACTCGTAGCGCGTAGAATAGAATCGATAGCCAGTATCCGTAGCACCGATTTCAACGTGCGATTTGCACGCGCCGAGAATCGGTTGGAGATATTCGCGCTTTGTCAGATACGTGGAATTGCTGCCGTCAACCGCAACACAAGAGAATCTCTACGAGAATCAAATTTCTTCGTATTTGATCGTCGGATTTGCTAGGTTCTTTTCGGGATTTAAATTATTTGGCGAGACGGTGAATAACATTGTGACACAGCAAATATCCTCGCGCACTGTATTTAAGATAATTTATTATATTGTTAGTTATTAATTTACTAAAAGTTAATTTGATAGATGTATTATATCGTAAAAAAAGTAAAGATTGTACAGTGTCATACTTGGCCACAATTGACATTAGTTTTATTATCATACATTTTTCCTATTAATGTGTCTAATTCATGGGATGAAGAAAATGTGAAAGAAGTTCTCTTATGTAGTGTGTAATTCATGTGTGGTTGTTAAAGTTATTTCTATATTCTCCTCTCTTTGCCTCATTCTCCAGTAATACTAAATATTCAACGATACTTTAATAAAATTGTGCGAAAGACTTGTTTAAGGAGTTTCAAAATTTGTTTCTAGTTTCACGCTGTTAATATCGATTTCGACGAGCTACATAAACTCGACATAATAATTTGTCAAAGTACGAATTTTTTTTAAAAGAAAAGTGTGATATTGTCGAAAATATGGTAGCAATTTTCAAGATATTTTTCTCTACTGACAAATTCTAAACTTTTTTCGAAAATTTTTTGCTTAAACATATTCCGAATTTTTAAGCTTTTTTGCTCTTTTAATTTGGCGCAATTTACACGGTGCGATATCTAACGAGGAAAGCAACATATTGCGAGAATATTGTTAGTAGCCAAAATCCAGGCGTAATAATAGCGAACGGCAGACGATCAAGAATTTGCGATATCGCCGGACGTCAGAGGTAGATAATGCAGGATAATGCGCGCGCGTAAAGGCTTGCCCAGCTGGCGTAGTTTGAGCGTAGCACGAATTACGAAGCGTTTAATCTCTTCGGTAATACTATTCCTTACCAACTTGAATCAATGTCATACGTTATCTTTATATTATTAAGCTTTATTGATGAGTTTTTGCGTGACATCCATTTGTTTTAAATTAATATTGATTTAAAGCATGTCTCAAATTTTGCCTGTATTTCACGTAAAAAAGTTATTTGATCATTAATTTAGAGTTGGTTTGTCGTTAAGCATCTTTAGATCGCCATCCAGGTAGGCAAATAAAATTGTCATTAGTCCCTTGATATTGCCTGCAGTATTTGGTGTATATTTTTTCGTATTAGCTTTCGCCGGCTTTTATCAAATCACCTTTATTTTTGTTACGACAGTTAGTGTCGAATATTGCTACTATAAATCGTTCGAAGGTATATACTCTGCTATATTCAGGCGCGAAGAAGAGTCGAGGGCAATATCTTGTCTTGAAAAAACGGCCTTGAAGAATAAAAATTTTTTGTACTTGGGGGAATTCGCTGATCGTTGCTTAACTTATTGCGGCATTATGTGGTACTTCAAGACAAACTGAATTTAAAAAAAAAGAAATATTGTCAGATAAAGAGCAAAAAAGTGAGATTAATCGAAAGGGTGAGAAAAGGCAATGGAATAATTTATAAAATTAGAATTTATTTGGAGAATTAAAAGCAAAAATACACAAATGAGATTATGAGGAAAAGCGCTATGAATAAATTTCATATTTTAATATGCATATTTATTGGCGAAATATAAAAGGCTTATGTATATTTGTTTTATGATGAATCTAGAATATAAAATTTGAAGAAAAATAGAACTTGTTCAATCTCTCTGATAATTCCGCAATGTGTAAATAGTTGTTTGAATTAATGAGACAGTGAATTTTGGCGTACTTTTAGAAATCGATAGCACTTCTGCGTATTGGGCTGAATTGTCCCATCAGGTGTTAGCCCTCTGGTAGAGAAAAGTAGCCCTCTTCTCTCAATGCATGTTCGTGAAAGCCTACGAAATTCCCCGGTCTTCAGAAAATGGTAGTTACGACGTGCCTGTTATTCAAGTAGGTCGGCCACGCCTACATGGAAAATCTCATTTCATCGAACATATTCGTGTAAGAAAAAAATAATCAATTCCCAAATTTATTTGAGCCATACGCTTGATTGGAAATATAATCTTGTGAGAAACTCTTTTAAATGCTAAAATAGCACGTTGATCTCTTCTATGCAGAATTATAAATTTAAAAAATGAATATTTTCGAAGAACTATGCAATTGAAAAATTTTAAAAATTTCTTTGAAGTCTCCATTTTTACATAACAAAGACTCTTTTGTCCCATCAATAAATATCCATCTTTGCAATCGATTTTGTGCGTGTCGCGCAAATTTCGCATTGTCCGTAGCCCGCCGCTTAAAGGTCAGTGGAAGCTAACAGCTGTATCTACATTTCCCATATTTTGGCACGCCATCGAAATTATACAAGCGGTATATATATGTCCGCAGGAAGTTAGTACTCTATACTGTCTCAACAGCGTGGAATACCAAGGTATTTACATCGCTTATGTATACGAGTTCGTTGTATATCAGACGAGATGTTTGGTCCGGATATACGACGCTGTACTGAGACACACCTATAGTGAGTTTACTCGTGTTTATGCATGTGCTGGTACAAGTGTGAAGGGATACAATATATATATATGTATATATATGTACTCTTATATACAATATATAAACGCCTCAGTACCTTTAGTTTACGTACACGAAAGACATGCGCTATTAAATGGACGAGATTGGAATCGGCATTATAGTCGCCTGTCTCTTCATCTAGTCCCGTTTGATACGAATTTAATCTTGGTAACTATTTAGATACCTTTCAGTATATATTAGTCTATCGACTTGAATTCCTATTGATCTTGAGATACGCGCACATTTTTTTTATTCCAAACGTAGTTTCTTTTTGCGCAATTCCTTATCACTTTTGCTATATAATATAAATTAAGATTGATGGTGAACGGTAACACAAAGTTGATTTGATTAAAATGTTTAATTTTTCATCATTTGCTGAACAATTTGCGCAATCTATTATGCAAAATAAAATTTTTAAAATAAGAGGAAAAATGCGGAGTATTAATGACTGATATAATTTGCGTTATGTCGGTCGGATTTTATTTGGTTTAAAGGGAATTACTTAATTCATGTCATTTACTATGCATTCTATTAATTAGGACACTTTCGATGGCTTCATAGATAATTTCGAGTGATTTATTCAGCTTACTTTCCTACCTTCCGCCACTTCCGCTTTACGCTTTTGTTATCTTTCTTTGGGTCACGAACACGAAACTTCATCTTTGACCTTTAAACTGCGTTCACCACTGAAATTAGAACTTAGAAACCACTAATTCGCTACTTCTAAGTTAGGCGTTAAGAGGTCGTGGTCAAGGTTTAGCGAAACATTTTCTGGGTCATTTGCGTGAGATTAGTCTACTAATTGTACAACAGTTTAGAAATCTAAAATGTTCATTATTGGCTTTATTGACTTTTTGGCAATAATTCCTAAATTGATTTGCTTTATATAGCGTCATAATGAAATCATGATTTCGTTAATGAGTCCAGAATATCCTTGTCGAGATAATTATCAATCGTAATTGTTTCTTTTGAGAATCTCATTAATTTTTAATAGTATCAATCTATTATAATAATTTCCTATTTATCTAAATAATCCATCGTAATGTGGCCTACGATCTATGCTACACTCAAATACATGCCGTGTCCTTTGAAGCTTAAGTTTCGAAACATCATGTGAAAACGTAATTTTACTCCAAAATCGTTTGGATAAAACGATACGAAGAAATGTGATCATGACGCGAAGTTAAAGACCTAAACACGTTTTCGATCATACGAGAATAAATTTTTTAAATTTTGTGTTTTACATCAGAAAAGAATGTTGCTCGCAATAATAATAGTTTTTTCAGAAAGCCATCGTGAGAGAATATTTTTAAAAATCAAATAAATATAAAATAAAAAATAAAAAAAATATAATATAAAATTAAAAAATATAATTTTTTATTATATATATTTTTTATTAGAATTGATATAAAATATTTTATAATTTAGATCTGTAAATATTATTTTGTATCTTTAATTTCAATCAAATTTGTCGCATAGGACTTGGTAAAGTGCTAATAGAATTTCCTTATGCTTGTTAAAAGCATCGCACTTCGTACATGGTCCAATTGTTAGTTTTTAATCTCCAGATTGAAAGTACATCGATAAGCAATTTATTTTTAGATTTTCGCAAATTTGATCCATAGAAGCATTTTTCTACGAGAAGTGAACAAGAGTTCCGTTGATGCAAAAGATACAGCTTATTTCTCGGAAATAGTAAAGTGAGGACAGTTCTCTTTAATGTAAATATCTAAATCCACTTCTGTTATTCTTCACAGAAAGCAAATGCCTTTGGATTTTTATCGAATCTTTCTTTATAGAAACTAAATGATTTTACTTTACTAAAAATAATACACTTTATCTGGTGTTGATTTTATTGACGAGATATTTTAATTGCTAATTAATATTCTTATTTGTTTTATGAAAAATGTAAATAAATTGC